CGATCCGCAAAGGCGGACGATTCCCGACAGATACCCTAGCCGCCACAATCACAATAATTCCCAAAGAGGGTAAGGACCCGACTAATTGCTCGAGCTACCGCCCGATCTCGCTCCTAAATTCGGACCTTAAGCTCTTTGCCAAGGCCCTGGCCCGAAGGATCTCTCCGATCCTTCCGGACCTCATCCACCCCGACCAAGTCGGGTTTATTCCGGGTAGGGAAGCCAGAGACGACACGATACGTGCACTCAACGTCATCCACATAGCGAAAACCTGGAAACGCGAGACTATACTGCTATCGACGGACGCCGAAAAGGCGTTTGACCGAGTAGATTGGACATATCTCACATCCACTCTCCGCCACCTACGATTCGGTCCCCAGCTATGCAACTGGGTGTCAGCACTGTATACGACGCCGACGGCACGGATCCGCATTAACGGAACCCTCACACAAGCTTTCCCCATCAGCAATGGCACACGCCAAGGCTGTCCCCTGTCCCCCCTCCTGTTTGCCCTCTCTCTAGAACCATTTCTGGAGGCGGTCAGACAGGACGGGGGCATTACGGGGGTGATGCTGGACGCAGAGGTACACAAGGTGGCAGCGTACGCGGACGACATGCTGTTCTTCCTAGAACAACCCCTCATCTCTATCCCTAATCTCCTCCAGGCGTTCCACGACTACCACCAAGTCTCTAATCTGAAATCTAGACAAATCTGAAGCCCTGCCCTTACTAGACGACGCCGGGCTGGCCGAACGCCTGAGCGCTAAGTTTGCCTTCACATGGCGAACGGTCAAGCTGAGGTACCTGTGCACCTGGTTGCCACGCGACCTCTCGCAACTTTATCAACTGAATTTCCCCCCCTCCTGGCGAACATCCAAAAGGATCTCCTCAGATGGTCCCCGCAATACCTCACCTGGTCGGCCGCATACAAGCGCTGAAGATGAACGTCCTCCCCAGACTCCTGTACCTATTCGCGACGCTGCCTACCACAATCCCTCAATCATTCTTCCGCACCCTGACACGGAAAATTCGAAGCTTTGTATGGAACCGTTCGGTGTCCCGCATACGCAGGACCACACTGGAATGGCCAAAGGTTGCGGGGGGAGCCGGGCTCCCCTCCGTGCAGCGATACTACCAGGCCACACACCTGCAGAGGCTAGTTGACTGGCACGCACGCCCAAGCACCAAACGATGGGTGCTCATGGAGACCCAGCAGTTGCAGGGCGCAATCCCGGCCCGAATCTGGCTCGGATCGGTCACCTACTCGGAACTCCAAACCCACTCATTGACGCCACCCTCGGAGTCTGGTGTAGGCTGCGCTTTTCCCACCAACTCACCACATCGCCTAACCCACTCACCCCGATCGCTTACAACCCGAATCTAGCGGGGGGCCTCCAGACGGACTGGATCTACTTACACCAATGGATCGTTGACAGGACCCTCAAACCACTGCCCGACGTCATCACTACCCAGCAACCGACCCCGCTTGATAGGTTCCGCTTCCACCAGGTTAAAACCTATTACACGACCCTACAGGGCAAAGACCACATTCACAGACAACTGACTGACTTCGAACGGCTATGCACAGACAGGAAACATATAGAACATGCGGTATCATACCTCTACACAAGCCTACAGTCACTGAGCAATGACAGCCCACTCGGGTTTATGGAAAAATGGGAACGTGAAACGGGCACACACTTGACTACCCAAGAATGGGAGAAAATCTTTCTTTTAACACACAAATGCTCCATAAGCTCCAAATACCAAGAGATGAGCTATAAATTACTCACACAATGGTATAGGACCCCGGAGGTACTAAAACATATGCACGACACAGCCTCTGGAGACTGCTGGAGATGTAATTCCGCCCCTGGCTCCAATCTCCATATCTGGTGGTCATGCCCCCGCAAAGTCCCGTACTGGAAACTGATACACACAAAGATTAAGGAAATCACAGACTCAGACCTCCCACTACAACCACTGCCAATGCTTCTCCACCACACAGCCACTTCTACACAACAATACAAAAAATCCCTTACGATACACCTGCTCTCCGCTGCTAAAAGCCTCATTCCACTACACTGGAAAAGCCAGACAGTACCCACCTACACACAGTGGGTGGATAAGGTGGAGGAAATCCATAATATGGAAATGATGACTGCGTCCCTTCGGGAGCGCTCGGACAAATGTGCCCTCCTCTGGTACCCCTGGACTACCTACACGGCACAGAGACGGACCTGACCCCCAAACTCGCTCCTCCAAGCGATTCCTGATATACCCATTGTTAATCCCACTCCAACTCCGACTCAGACTCCCCCCCCCCCCTTCCACCTTGGCTGTGCCATGCCAAGACCAGACATCACCAGAGCTTTGAATGCCCATTGGACTGAGCACTCAAAAACCGATCACATATGTAGCTTTCGCCCTCTCCCTCTAAGCAAGGCGTCAACCCACCAAAAATAATGGAGTATAACCGCAAGTCCCTGAATAACATGAACCCACCTAAACCACAAGTGGCACACCTGCGCAGCGTCCTATGCCCCCGACTGAGAAACACCCTGGCGGACACATCGCAAGTTAAAGATGCATTGACCTAGGGAAACACACTGAACGCAACCCTGTACCACCAACAGAAATGACGCACTATAGGGGTTGATGTCACGCATTGTAACCTGATAATTGTCAACCCCCTTCCCTCCCCCACCCTTTTCTCTTTTTTCTGTCTCCCATCCTGACTTGAAAAACTCAATAAATAAAGCATGTCAAAAAAAAAAGGGCTACAAACTGAGCTGTACACGTAACAAACATAGCAATGTAGACCAGATGCTCAATTAATACACAATTAGAATCACATACGACCATTAGCACTGTGCTGGGAGGGCTTAATATCCTGCATCCTCATTAACTGTTAATTCTTGTTATAATTGCATATAACAGGCATGTGTGAAACACATGTTTTACCTTAACACAATGGTATAAAAGTGTATATTAAGCCCCTATGCCATATCCGTACTTGTGTGTAATAGTAAGAAAAGAAAGTACACTGGGGCAGGATAAATCCAAAAATCCTGTATCAGTTGAGAATACCCTAGTGTTTGTGTTAGGCCTGATAACGCTATCGCTGCTTGTTTGAACCTATGTTTGTACTTCTGGAAGATCTACCTGTCAGATAGGTAATGTTTATTATTACTGTTCCTTATACGGACATACTTTTGTGTACCTGATTGTTACATGTTTTCCATTGTTCAAAAGACAAAATTACAAAATAAAGATTGTCCAAAAAAAAAAATCCACTCGTCCCTCTTTAAGCATAATTTGCTGCAACCCATTAACATAAATTTGTTCTCGTGAGTTAAGACCCTCTATGTCTGCCCTATTCCAAATTGATGTTCCCAAACTGAGTCCTGAGATTATATCAGTACCCAGATCCCCTTTTTCTCTCTCTCTAAACTTGAGCCCTTGTGTTGCATCCCAGAATAGATTAATATGTGCTTGAAATACATTTTTAAACCATTCTTTCATCATCTCTGTGCAACTCTCTGGTATATTAAATAATGAAAAATTTAACAATAATGGTAATGTTACATAAGACACATCAGTATACACAACAGTTTGTGTTGGTTGTAAGAAAAGGCCATGCTCTAGCCACAGGGTGGTAGTTGGACAGTCCTGAGAATTCATAATTCTTATGTTAATTGCTGGGTCAACTGTATCATGTAATCCAGTCTGATGGGGGCTGCATGTTACAACACCATCCTGGGAAAATGTAAAATTTATTTCCAGCATCATCTTTATCCTCATTTCATTTGTGGTATTGGCCCAAAATATACTTGTACTCTTATGTAAATCACTTCCTCCTGGATATTTCCAAACTGCAAATTCAGAGGGAAGGTTAGTTTCAGGCATTGAAATATTATATTGTATCACTATAGGCCCAACCACTGTAAGATTATCTTTACATGTAACTTCAGGTGATTGTTCCTTTACTTTTAATGTTACTATGATTGTCTCTGAATCTTCTGAACTCCCTTTCTCCCTATGATAACCCTCTACTGGAGTACTCTGATGTACCATTTTATTGTTATTCTTCATCATGACATTCCCTTTTTCTTTTTTTTTTTTAATGAATATAATTTTTATTTATTCTTGTGTTACTTACGTGGAGATCGGAGACTCGCAGGTCTCCAAGGTGAGTAGTCATAATTGTTTTGTTTTTTTTTCTCTTGAAAACAACAATGTATGTTTGGGCTCGCAGGCCCACAATGTTGACGGACTTGCAAGTCCCTATTTTCCATGATCACAAGCACCTTCATGTACATCTTACCATCTGCCATTAGTTTTACTAATTGAGTTTTGTTTACATGGTTTATACGGTTCATGTACAGCAGCCGGTAGTCTCGTTATGTTTGTGTTGAGGTTCGCAGACCTCGTATGCAACCTTTATTGTTAGGCGATGTTCAGGTCCCTAAATCTAGTGTTGGGCTTTATGCCTGTAGCAGATTTATGTGAGTCTCCCCTTAGTGTCTCTGGTGTCCTGTGTCTAGGGTACAGTGTACCCGTGTTGAGAGGTTTATGATTCATATTTCGGGAGGATGTGAGTGTAGTTCGTTGCTGTCCTCAGGCTATGTTATGGTTATCCCATCTGCTCGACCCATGTTTCAGTAGGGTCATGTCTCTTGGAAGTTATGGGTTGTGTGTGAACCCGTGTGGGTTTTCCATTCAGGGCCCTAGTGTCTCCTCTATACGAAATAATTTCTGCTTTGGTTGGGGTATCGTCCTGTGTGGGTCTTTAGAAGAGGGGAGGTGGGGAAGGTCGGGGTTAGGG